TTGCACATCCTTCCAGTCTGGGGCCCAGTCACCGAATCACCGCCTGATTCTCAATCCCCCAGATCTCGCATTCACACGTGACTCACTCTCTCTTGTCTTTTCACCATATCTCCGTGAAACCCATGCTCTCAGGGACTTACCCAATTATGCCAGTCATCCCCTGACGTTATCCCTATTTATACCATAATTACAATAACTAAGAGGGGCGAGTAATTGTGTTGATATTTCTAATTATATAATATATCAGCTACTCTTCTTCCTTCTGCACTTTCTATCCCCCAATGGAACATAGGCCCTCAACCAACTCATGCCAAGTCGTTCTATCCTTTGCTATCGCATGCAGCTCCTTCAATGTCCTTTTTAATTTCACGCTTTAGCTCCCTTCCCCATGTTTTTTCTTTGGGGGGGGGGGGGGGAGTTCCTTCATTTCTGTTTCCCTGTGGGTTCCAGTGCAAAGACATTCTAGTTATTTTGTTCTCCAGTTTTCTCACTATGTGTCCTGTCCAATACCATCATCTTTTCATCACCTCTTGGCCCACTGGAACTTGCTTAATTCTCTCCCAAAGCTTTACATTAGTGATTCCATCTTGTCATTAAATTCCCTTTATTCTGCAGAGGCACCAGTTAATGGTCGGCGTCTGTGGCTTAGGTGTTGCAAACGCGCTTTATAAGCCTAGGTGGGCCTTGTGCTTGTTTTGACAGTGTTATCGAGAAGCCGACTGTCCAGAAAATAATGGCAAACTACTGGACGTAAATTCGCCTAGAAAAACCACAACAGCTAAAAAAATGCTGGGGTTCATTCTGCATCGTCATGTAAAGCATACACAACTAACCTAACCAGTTAACGGATGTTTGTAGTTTACAATTGCCTTAGTTTGTCTCCATGTTTCTGCTCCATACAACAGTATTGATCAAAGTTGCAAATACATGCTGAAAAGTTCCTCAGTATGCCAGATCACCCCATGAAAAATAGATTTCACAACCTAACCTTGGGATGGTTAAAAAGAAGCAGCTTTATACACCAAGCAAAAAGAATATGTAGACAAACTACTGACCTTCCAGAAATTGGTTGTCCACTTAACAGTATTCCAGAACAAACACCATAGAGAGAAAAATGTAAACTATCAGTACAAATCCAGACAAATGTGAAAGGAATATTTGATCACCTTTTTAGGCAGTTTCAGTCTGCTGTATTTCTTCAGACTCGCAGATTTTACTAAATAATCTATGTAGCGATTCGGTTGATGTGTTTATATTGGCCTTAATAGCTTCTGCTGGGATACCATCTGAACCTGCTGCCCTTCCTTCCTTCAGAAGATTGAAATCACATACATTATTTAGGATAGCCTGGAAGACTGGAGAAATGCCAGCAAGCTGGAGAGAAAGATATCTGGTGTTATTGTCAGCTGTGGGAGAATATTAAGCTGGAACAAGACAAGTCCAGAAGTGGACAAACGATCAGAACATTCTGCCAGAGTTTACAGCCGGTCAATGCTGAGAAGAAGCCATTGACAGCTAATATAATATATAAACAGACAGTATTCCTTCATTAACCAGACAGAGAGAATGTGCATAATAATGGAGCAGATCATTTTTAAAAATAAAAGAAATTTCAGATTGTTTATTCAGCTGTTTAAAATGGTTATAATTGTGATTATTAAGTAAATGTTGTTGTTGAACAAACAGTATACAGTTTAGAAAGGGATATTGTGAATTTTTTTTTTTTTTTAAAGAATTTTTCATCTCTCCTTGCCCGGACCCTTCTTTCCCTTTTCCATATTCATATTGTTTCTGTATTCATGTTTCTGTATTAACTTAATTAGGTATGAGAATTGAGATGGGACAGTAAAGGCAGCTTTCCAATGGCTTAAGAGCAACACAGCCTAGTATGTGGTAGTTTGTCCGGGTTCACAGAGCATGCTTCAGAAAACTGAAACTGATGGCCTACACGTAGAGTGGCTTGCATCATTTGATCAGACTCAGATCAGGAGCATATCATGGATTTTTTTCTGTCCATGACATTTGGGTGTGCAAGATAATGAGCAGGCTGATAGATTGGCAGCTGCTGCCCTCTGGCGTGTGAGCTACTTTATGATAAGCAGAGGTGGTAAAGGCTCTCTGGGATCAACAGAACAGACCTAGTAGCCGCACACTGATAGACAAATTCAGCAGCAAAGTCAGGGGTGAGCAGAGGGTCTGGGAGATATTTAACACTGAGGGGAACACAAAATCAGGTTGCAACTGGCACAACTCTTTGTTGTGAAAGAGACAGAAAACATGTAGGGATGTCTCAAGTGCAGGGATGTCAGATCTTGATTCATTCATTCATTCTGTATTAATCCATGAAGGGCTGATTCCTTTAGAAAATATATATTCATTATATGCAGCTTTTGAGCTGAAAATGCAATGGTACAGACATACAGAACTTGGCTGACCTGACAGGCCTTAGTTATGTAGCCATGAAGTCTATTGCATCTGACCCCCAGAGGTGAAGGAATCTAATCAGACAGTCGAAGGAAACTGATGACTCAACTATTTACAGGATGATGATTGAGTTGAAATGCTACAAAAAGGTTCTTAGCGTGTCCTGGATCAAAACGAAAAGAAATATTGACATTCATTGATGATCTGAATGAACATCAAGGAATATTGTCTTGTAAAAAGCATCTTTTCTTTGAAACTACTGTAGTTTGCAATGTTGCCCTGGCTTGTAAAGAACAGTAGTGGAGGTTTTTCCAAAGTTAATTGTTAGACACTAAAAATTCTGCAGGTAGAAGAATGAAAATGCAAATTCTTAACAAGTAATTCAACTGAGACAGGATATCTAATAGCAAACTTGAGAACAGCAGTCACTGGGAGGGTTTCAGGTCTGTGATTGATGTAGATTAGGCCAGTATGAATGTAAAAAAGTCATTGATTCCTATGAATTTGTTCACATGCCAGTTAATTTAGGGATAGAGAAGAGTTGTTTATGACTACTAGTAGATATTGTTAATGAGAGTTGTTACTGGGAGTGATCTAAGACAGAGTATAAACTTAGATTTGACATCTGAATGAGGAAATTGTCATATTAGTGTGAGAACTCGCTTGCTAAAGTAGACAACAGGTAGATTAAGTTAAAATGACTAAATTGAATTTGGGTTATTTAAGAGAAGAGTAGATATACTGTAGGCAGATAAGGGCAGGAGATGAAATAGGACATTGAAAGCTAGAGGTTGAGGGAGTCAAGATGAGGACTAGGAGATCTACAGAAGATATTAGGATATTAATGTTCCATGTGAGTTCTAAAGCCCATTTGTTGGGGGGGGGGGGGGGGGGAGAACAGACTCACTAACCCCTAAACATCATGTGGTAAAAGTTCAATAGTTAAGGGTGTTTTTACTGAAGTGGGAGTGAAGTTAAGTGTGTTTTTTAGTGAAGTGGGGGTGCATCTGCCTAAAAGGCAAGGAGTCAACAATCTGCATAAAATAAACCAGATCTGTAAAACATATGTGTGTGCACAACTCAAATTATAGAATAAGACTATAGTCGAGAAATGGATGAACAATCAGAACTTTCCGCCGGGATTTATAGCTGTTCAACACTAAGAAGAAGATATGAATGTTCATATTTGCATCCCTAGAAATTGTTCATTGTTCATGTCTGTATTAATCAAGTGTTGTGTTGTATGCACAACTGCTGTTATCCTTGACTTCAGCTGTGTAAAGTAATTCCCTATGTTTAAATGAAGACATTAAGACCCAGAAAACCGGATGCAGTGTGTGTGAGTATTGTGACTACTTAAAACAGCATACATCAGACTCTTAGAGATCCTAAACAAATATAGCTATCCATATATCATGTCACAAACACACACATTATATACACACATGAAAGTCTGCCAAGATATGTACACAGACTTCAATGGAAGATATGATACATACACAAAGGCATGCATTCACACACACACACACACATGCTTATAAATACACACACACAAATGTCTATATACACAGATAACAGTCTGGCATAAAATTTACACACACTTCAACAGATGTCATCTGTAATGTGATTTTTATCTCAGATCTGGACTCCTTGGACAGTGTTGCTCATGCGGTAGTTGACCGTATTATATCATTATTAGGGCAACTGATTTGAGCGTGTTAAAGGTAGTTTGTGTCCCCCCTCCCACCTTGATGGCTCTATAAATGTGTCAGTGCCATTTTTGTGAAGGGCTTTTTTTTTTGCTGAATGAAGCAAGTTTTGTATTTATTAGCTGCCTCTGCATGTATATATATATATATGTCATCTGTCCGTGCTTAACTTACACCCACTGTCTGTGCTGTCTCAGTTGAGACAGTTATACCCGTAAGTACATATCAAATCATACAATGTATCTCTGTTGTTCTAATCCAGAGTGACACTTGCCATGATTAAATGAAATAATAAAAGCTAAAGTATAGCTACTTTTTTGGGGGGTCATCTATATTGTGCATTTCTGTCATTTACAGAACTTCAAAGTTATAGTTTTAGAACATTTTGTTTTGTCATTTGTTCTACACGTCAATTTATCTTTCTCCTAGGAGAACAAAGGGAGTCGCCATGGCAGAGCATCTAGACCCACGCTGCGGATCGGAAGGTTGCGGGTTCACTACCTAGCGGAGCCAGACTTTTCTTCAAAAATGACCTCGGCTCCCAGGTCGACCCAGCCTTGAGTGGGTACCGGGTACAGTCCCAGGAAGTAGAGGCAGCCGGTGTGATGCTGACCACATCACCCATCTTGTGCCGTTGGTCTATAAAAGTATAGGTCTAGCCCTATACGCCTAAGGACGTGAAAAGGGTCCTTTACTTTTTTAATGAGGAGAACAAAGACATGTGGCATCACTGTAACTGACATATAAATATCTGTACTATGCATGGGTGCCTGTGTTGTCTGATGTACATTTGTTTCTAATGTGCTTATTCTTGTCTGTTTCAGGTGGCACTTTTGTGAGAGAGTTGGAACTATGAAAACATACAGCATGCCCAAGACTCATTTCTCACGTATTTCTCCTCGGAGGGGCCTGTTTTACCTTCCCCCCTGCTCAAGGAGGTTTTCATGTATAGTTCTGGTGGTTGCTCTACTGACAGTTATATTACTGTTTATTCCTGCAACAAGGAACTTGTTGCTCTCCCCCATCTGGCCCAAAACCTGGAGAGAAATGGGAACCTTGCAAGCTTTAACTATCAAATTTTCTCCAGAGCTCCCAGAGGAGCCTGATATCAAGCATTGTTATATAAAGACAGAACCAGGTGTTTCCTTGTCTGATATTGATAAGAGTAAAGTGATGTTTCACTCAGATGTGTACAAGGCAGAACTCCGACAAGCTGAACATCGGCTGTTTTTTCCACCATTGAAAGAAGATGAGAAACTGACCCTGCTGCACACTTACCTGGTTGTTGCCACCAGCTTGCAGAAAGCGGGTATAGCATTCATGCTGGTGGAAGGTTCACTTCTTGGTGTTCACCGCCACCGGGGCATGGTGCCATGGGATGATGATATTGACATTGCCATCAGTGTTCTCAATAGGAAGAGTGTTGGCAGACTCTTAGGTTGCATACAGGGTTTCGACCTCGTGGTCAGCTATGTTGGACACTGGAAGTTTTTCCCAAATTCTACACAGCATGGACATCACTTCCCGTTCATAGACATTTTTTTCTATGCAGAGGATGAAGATTATCTTTGGGCAGTGACTGATTATTTAAAACAGACAGTGGTCTTCCCCAAGAAACATACTTTCCCACTGAACACTGCTTCCTTTGAAGGTTTGATTGTGCCTGTGCCAAAAGATACTGATTACATTCTCAGAAGTGTGTTTGATTTTGAAACCTGCCAGTCTTCTAGCTACAATCACAAGGAAGGTATGAGCATACCTGAAATGTCAACAGTTCCATGTTCCTCATTAACTTATTTATATACCATGTTTAACTTGAAATATTAGTTGTTGGTGTGTGGGCAGTTATGATATATGGTGTGTGTGTAGTAATTTATGAATGGGCAGTTATTGGTGATATGGTGTGTGTGTAGTAATTTATGAATGGGCAGTTATTGGTGATATGGTGTGTGTGTAGTAATTTATGAATGGGCAGTTATTGGTGATATGGTGTGTGTGTAGTAATTTATGAATGGGCAGTTATTGGTGATATGGTGTGTGTGTAGTAATTTATGAATGGGCAGTTATTGGTGATATGGTGTGTGTGTAGTAATTTATGAATGGGCAATTATTGGTGATATGGTGTGTGTGTAGTAATTTATGAATGGGCAGTTATTGGTGATATGGTGTTTGTGTAGTAATTTATGAATGGGCAGTTATTGGTGATATGGTGTGTGTGTAGTAATTTATGAATGGGCAGTTATTGGTGATATGGTGTGTGTGTAGTAATTTATGAATGGGCAGTTATTGGTGATATGGTGTGTGTGTAGTAATTTATGAATGGGCAGTTATTGGTGATATGGTGTGTGTGTAGTAATTTATGAATGGGCAATTATTGGTGATATGGTGTGTGTGTAGTAATTTATGAATGGGCAGTTATTGGTGATATGGTGTTTGTGTAGTAATTTATGAATGGGCCGGTATTGGGAATATGGTGTATGTGTAGTAATTTATGAATGGGCAGTTAATGGGGATATTGTGTAGGTGTAGTAATTTATCAATGGGCAGTTATTGGTGATATGGTGTATGTGTAGTAATTTATCAATGGACAGTTATTGGTGATATGGTGTATGTGTAGTAATTTATCAATAGGCAGTCATTAGTAGATGGTGTATGTGTTGCAATTTATGAATGAGCAGTTATTTAGGATATTGTGTATGTGTAGTAATTTATCAATGGGCAGTTATTGGTGATATGGTGTATGCGTAGTAGTTTATGAATGGGCAGTTATTGATCAATCGTGTGTGAGTAGTAATTTACAAATGGGCAGTTATTGATTGGATGGTGAATGTGTAGTAATTTATGAATTGGCAGTTATTGATCAATCGTGCATGGGTAGTAATTTACGAATGGGAAGTTATTGATTTGATGGTGTATGGGTAGTAATTTATGATTGGGCAGTTATTGATGAATGGTGTAGGGGTAGTAATTTATTATTAGGCACTGTGTGATAGATGGGGAATGAGAGTAATTTATAATTAGGCAGTTATTGATGTATGGTGTAGGTTAGTACTTTATAAATGGGCAGTTACTATTGGATGGTGTACGGGTAGCAATATATGAATAAGTAGTTATTGATTGGATATAGTTATTGATATGGGTAGTAATTTATGAATGGGCAGTTAATGGGGATATTGTGTATGTGTAGTAATTTATTAATGGGCAGTTATTGGTGATATGGTATATGTGTTGCAATTTATGAATGGGCAGTTATTAGTAGATGGTTTATGTGTAGTAATTTATGAATGGGCAGTTATTGATGATATGGTATATGTGTTGCAATTTATGAATGGGCAGTTATTTAGGATATGGTGTATGCGTCGTAGTTTATGAATGGGCAGTTATTGGTGATATGGTGTATGCGTCGTAGTTTATGAATGGGCAGTTATTGATCAATCGTGCATGGGTAGTAATTTACAAATGGGAAGTTATTGATTTGATGGTGTATGGGTAGTAATTTATGAATGGGTAGTAATTTATGATTGGGCAGTTATTGATGAATGGTGTGTGAATAGTAATTTATGAATGGGCAGTTATTGATAAATCGTGTGTGAGTAGTAATTTACGAATGGTAAGTTATTGATTTGATGGTGTATGGGTAGTAATTTATGAATGGGTAGTAATTTATGATTGGGCAGTTATTGATGAATGGTGTAGGGGTAGTAATTTATTATTAGGCACTTTGTGATAGATGGGGAATGAGAGTAATTTATAATTAGGCAGTTATTGATGTATGGTGTAGGTTAGTACTTTATAAATGGGCAGTTACTATTGGATGGTGTATGGGTAGCAATATATGAATAAGTAGTTATTGATTGGATGGTGTATGGGTAGCAATATATGAATAGGCAGTTATTGATTGGATGGTGTATGGGTAGTATTTTATGAATAGGCAGTTATTGATTGGATGGTGTATGGGTAGTAATTTATGAATATGCAGTTATTGATAGATGGTGTGTGGGTAGGAATTTATGAATGGGCAGTTACTGATGGATGGTGAATGGGTAGGAATTTATGAATGGGCAGTTACTGATGGATGGTGTATGGGTAGTAATATATGAATAGGCAGTTATTGATTGGATGGTGTATGGGTAGTAATTTATGAATATGCAGTTATTGATGGATGGTGTATGGGGAAGTAATTCAAGATTGGGTAGTTATTGATGGATGGTGTGAGTAGTAATTTATGAATGGGCAGTTACTGATGGATGGTGTATGAGTAGGAATTTATGAATTGACAGTTATTGATTGATTGCAGTTATTGATGGGTGGTCTATGGGAAGTAATTTATGAATGGGTATTGATGGATGGCAGTTATTGATGAATGTGAAGTTATTTATGGTGTGGTGGTTGTTGATGTGTGAGTAGTTATTGATGCGCGGGGAGGAGGGGGGGGGGGGTTGTAGTAGTTTATAAATGGGCAGTATTGATGTGTGAGTAGTTATTGATGGTGGGGGGGGGGGGGGGGGGGGCAGTATTGATGTATGAGTAGTTATTGATGGGGGGGGGGGGGGGGGGGTTGTAGTAATTTATAAATGGGCAGTATGAGATGTATGAGTAGTTATTGATGGGGAATGGGGGGGGGGGGGGTCAGTATTGATGTATGGTAGTTATTGATGGGTGGCTATATGTTGATATATGGACAGTTATTAATGGATGAGTATTAATATATGAATAGACAGTTATTAATGGATGAGTATTAATTGTATAATGACAGTTATTGATGGATGAAAAGTGCATACTTAAACACGCAAGTTCTGCACAACTGAAAAAACAAACATTTTACAGAAGGTTGAAACATTTTTCACTTTTTATTTGGTTTCTTTCTGCCCTCCCCTTCGCTTGTTTTCAACTCATAGTAGCATATAATGGATACAAGTAGATATATAACAAAATATAGCAAGCAATAAACTGTGAAGTGTCTTGTTAATGTCTACATTATTTAAATGTAGCTTGCAAAAAATGTAGTCACAAAACACATTGCTTCATGCAGGGAAGTATAACTGGTTTTATTTGCTTATTGAATCATAAGTATCCTGGCAACAATCATCATGCACAAATGGTTGATATAAAATATTGACAGTTAAAATAATTACTGAACACTGTCATTTCAACACTGAGAAATCTTCATGTGAGCAATTAGAATATGGTGTCCTCATCCCAGCAGAGCATGTCATTGAGGCAGCTAGTTTTGGAAAGAGAATAAGATGCAAAGACACTTCTTCATTAACGTCAGAAAGAGACTGTCAACATTTGCAGCGACATGATATAAAAACTAAAACATGTTGTGACAACAGAAAAGATTTAGGGAAAGAGAGATAGAAGAAGAGACAGAAAAATGATTCTTGGCAGCCGTTTGTCATGGCATTGAAGGTATCAGCACAAGAGCTGAGACATAATGTTGGAAATGACCAGATTTCAAGAAGCATAATTATCAGTTGTTGTCAGTCAGCTAGATACTTGATGATGACATCATCAAAGGGTATACTTATGTATATGGTCATATCTGGTGTGTTTATTTACTGAAGACCCAGCCAGTATTATATAATGCAGTAATTACTGACATGAATCAAAATATTACCACAACAGAATTATTAATTACAAAGCTGTGCACACATGGCGTGATTGTAACTGACTCACTGAGCATGTTAAGAAAGGTGGAGACATGCATGTCCTGTGCAGAGTGGCAAGTGTCACTTCAGAGGTCCCGAGTAGTGGCATCCTTTGGATATTTTCTACAGGTGACCCCAGTGTGTTGGTAACTGAGCAAGCAGATAGATTAGTCGGTTCTGAACCACTTGATGTATGACAAGCTAGATATTGCGAGGGCCCTTTGGAAGTGAGTGAACAGTGAGGAGGCACAGATGGATCATTGTGGTCTGAGGAGAATGTAGCTGTCAGGAGTTACCAGAGGATTTGGCCAACGCTCGCACTCAGGGAAAAGGTGAGACAGATATAAAATCAGATAGTTACTGGTGCCATCAGAGTTGGAACTCTTCACTTGCTCCTGAAGATGGGAACAAAGTGCTTATGGGAGTGTCCCGAGCTCTGTGATGTCGATTGTTCATTCAACATTCAGCACAGAAATGTGGACATATGAAAATATAAATAGTCTGGGTTGTTGAGGATGTGAGTGAAAGCTGATTGTGCAAGTTATCATATGGTCAGCAGTCTGTTCAAAACAGTCCAACTGGGTGGTGTTGTTCAGCTGCTGCTGCCAGAGCACAGATTCCCACCTGACCTAGGCCAGACCTTTGTTCACTTGATGATGATTGGTTCATTGTTTGCAGCTGAAGTTTTCTGCAAGGTGAGGCAGCTAGTCTCATGCCAGATCTCCTGAGTTGCATCTGGTCACATGTCTGCTAGGGTGTAGTATCATTGTTCTTTGCTCCTTTTATTGGCCGCGGTGTGTGCGGGCCTGCATGTATGTGTACATACCTGTGTATGTATTTTATGTGTGTGTGTGTGAGAGAGGGAGAAGTTGACCATAGTAGTGTTTTGTTTCTTGCTGAAGATGTCACAGAATGTGCAGCAGTTCCCTCCTCTAGCCTATACACAACTCCTGGCACAACCATCCTACAGCTCTTGTCTTGAGTTGTCAACTTCAACTTTCTCTTTTGTTTACATTTCTCCTGAATTCTTTTGTTTTTAAAATGCTTTTGTTAAAGCACACATCATTATTTCCTTCACACAGTCCTTTTTTTTTTTTTTTAAATTTGTTGCTTGTATTTTCTTTAAAATAATTTTAAATTATTTCCAGCTTTGAATGTGAATAATTCAAAGATTTC